ACACAAAGATACAACTAAGAAAGAGAACTACAGATCAATATTGCTCATGAATATTGATGCAAAAATACTCGATAAAATACTGGCAAATCGAATCCAACAACAATCAGAAAAGTCATCCACCATGTTCAAGTAGGCTTCATATCAGGGATGCAAGGATGGTTCAACATAAAAAAAATCTATCAATATAATTCATCATATAAACAAATTGCAAAAGAAAAACCACATGGTCATCTCACTATATTCTGAAAAATCCTTTGACAAAATCCAACACCCCTTCATGATAAAGGTCCTGGAGAGATCGGGGATAATAGGAACAAATTTGAACCTAATAAAACAATATACAATAAACCAACAGTCAACATCAAACTAAATGAAAAGAAACTCAACACAATTCCTCTAAAATCAGGAGGAAGACAAGACTGAACACTCTCCATGCCTCTTCAATATTGCACTTGAAATTCCAGCTAGAGCAATAATACAACAAAAGGAGATGAAGGGATACAAACTGGAAAGGAAGAAGTTAAACTTTCATTATTAGCTGATGATATGATTGTTTACATAAATGACCTGAAAAACTCTACCAGGGAACTCCTACAGCTGATAAACACCTTCAGCAAAGTGGCAGCATACAAGATTAACTCAAAAAAATCAGTAGCCCAACTATATACAGACGATAAATGGGCTGAGAAGGAAATCAGAGAAATATCACACTTTACAATAGCCACAAACAACATAAAATGTCTTGGGGTAACTCTAACCAAACAAGTGACAACCCTGTATAGCAAGAACTTTGAGTCTTTAAAGAAATTAAAGAAGACACCAAAAAATTGAATGACTTCCCATGCTCATGGATATGTAAAATTAATATAGTAAGATGGCAATCTTGCCAAAAGTAATCTACAGATTCAATGCTATCCCCATCAAAATCCCAACACAATTCTTCACAGACCTTGAAAGAACAATAATCAACTTTATGTGGAAAAACAAAAGACCCAGGATAGTGGAAAAAATGGTAAAATAAAGGAACTTCTGGAGGGATCACCATCCCTGACTTCAACTCTATTATAGAACTATAGTACTGAAAACAGCTTGGTATTGGCAGAAAAATAGACAGGTAGACCAATGGAGCCGAATTGAAAACCCTGATATTAATCCACACACCAACAAACACCTGATCTTTGACAAAGAAGCTAAAATTATACAATGGAAAAAAGAAAGCATCTTCAACAAATGGTGCTGGCATAACTCGATGCTGGCATGTAGAAGACTACAGACAGATACATATCTATCATCCTGCACAAAAAGTAAGCCCAAATGGACCAAAGACTTCAATATAAATCCAACCACACTGAACCTCTTAGGAGAGAAAGTGGGAGTTACCCTTAAACAAATTGGTACAGGAGACAGCTTCCTGAACATAACACCAGTAGCACAGACACTGAGATCGACAATTAATAAATGGGACCTCCTTAAACTGGGAAGCTTCTTTAAGGCAATGGACACAGTCAACAAGACAAAATGTCAGCCCACAGAATGGGAAAAGATATTCACTAACCCCATATCTGACAGAGGACTGATCTCCAAAATTTACAATGAACTCAAGAAGCAAGTCTCCAAAACACTAAATGATCCAATTATAAAGTGGGGTACAGAATTAAATAGAGAATTCTCAATAGAGGAATCTAAAATGGGGAGGGCCTAGACTCTGCCCAGGATGACATGACAGACTTTGGAGATCCCCCATGGAGGGCCTCACCCTCCCTGGGAAGCAGAGGGAGGATGGGTCAGGTGTTGGGTGGGTTGGTGGGAGAATGAGGAGGAGGGGAGGGAGAGGGAAGTGGGATTGACATGTAAAGCAAGCTTGTTTCTATTTCAAATTAAAAATGCTAAAAAAGAAACTGACTAGATGCCCATTAAAGGATGAGTAGATAAAATGTCACACCTTTAGCCACTGTTTACTCAGCTAAACAGACAAACCAAAATGAAACAAAGACTCAAACTCAAACTCATGATATTTGCAGGTAAATGGATGGCGCTATAAAAAAAAAGCCATTGTGAGCGAAGTAACCCAGACTCCAAAAGAGAAATAAGGTGTACATTTGCTTATGTGGAAGTTAGCTGTTAAGTCTTTGATAAACAGACTAAAACAATTATAACCACAGATAATAGGAATAGAGTAATGAACTGGAGTTGGGGTTAGGGAAGATCTCTCTAGGAAGGGGAATCAGAATTAATAGTTATGGTTGGATTAGGGGAAGCAGGACTGGGTTACAAGGATAAAATAAAGAGAGGAAAGAGGGAGGTGAGAAGAGAGGACAGGGAAGGCCAGATAAAATTAAAGGCCATTTGAGAATTCATATGGAAACCTAATATGGTAGAAACACTTAAAAATACATACATATATGAAAAAATCAATAGGAATTACCAAATGGGAGAAGCAAAGGACCAAAAAGACATCTCATGCCACCAAAGGAAACCTCAACTTTCTGGAATAGGTTACATCTAATAGAGTTGTTGAACAAAGGCAACCATGGAACCCTAAAACAAACCAGCCTATCGCCAAGACAATACATTACTCTCCAGAAATGGACATCAAGGCCCTACTGCTGAAGACAGCACCAACATAGCTCACTGAATGTGGAGAGGTCACACTAGTACCTACTTGGATCCTTCACCCCTACTGATGAGTATTCATACTACAGAAAGGTACACTTCACTCTACCAAAGAAAAAAGACAGACACCTTCTCAGCTACAAACCCTTTGATCTACAAAGATTGCCTGCCTGACTGGATCAGTAGTGGTACAAAATTTGTGAGAATTCTCAACCATAATCTGTCTGGAACTAAGGCCCACTCCATGAAATGTAACCCATGGCTGACCAGATAGGCAATGGACCTAGGGGGAAAACCAGATACTACTGTTCTACTAATGAAATGTAGTAATAAAATGACTCCTAACGTTGTTTTCTATAACCATAGAACGATGTATTGCTCAGCCATCATCAGATGACTTCCCCCTACATTAGATGGGAACAAATACAGAAACCTACATTTGGTAAAGTGCAAAGAGTGAGTGAGAGATCTCAGATCATTCCATTCTAAATGGAATGTCTCCATAAGTTCCCTCTCCCAGTACTTAGGGAAGAGAAGGCAGAAAGATTGCAAGAGATCACAGGGATGGAAGACTTCATCATGAATGTTGACCTGTAGTTTTCTTTTTCTGTATGTCTTACTTGGTTTTGTTACTACAGTTATCAAACCCCTCCCTTCAAGATCCCAGAGATCTATGAAGAACAGGAGGCAGAAAGACTGTTAGAGCCGGTGGGGGACAGAAAACTCCAAGGAGACTAGGTCTTCTGGACACAAAAGAACTGACTCAATGAACTCACAGAGAACATAGCAGTACTCAAAGGGACTTTATATCTAAGCCAGATGGAGTGACATTGCGTTGAGAAGTGGATACAAGCTCCCATGCCCAACCCAGGTGCTGTCTCCAACTGATTATTGTTCACACAAGAAAATTTATTTTTCTCCAACAGACTATTACTGGGTACAAAAAAAAACACAGTCAAGGACAGGCCCTGCCCAGCAGTAGATGGCCAGGACAAAACAAACTCAGTGTTATTTTGGAGGATCCTTTGACTCACAGGCTGGATCTGGGCTGTTTTTTTTAACCTCACAGACTTTTTGCTCATGTATTATGATTTCCAGTTTTGTTGTTATGGGTTTTCTTTCTGTGTGTAAACGTGTATGTCTTGGTTCTGTGTTTCTTGTACTTTTTCTTTGACTTATTTTTCAATGTTTGTTTTGTCCTATTCTGATTTTCTTAGTTTATTGTAGTTATTTCTTAGTTGATTGTTTATATTCTAATGAAAGAGGGGGAAAGTGTGGATTTGGGATGTGGAGGGAGCTAGAAGGAGCTGGGGAGGAGAAATCGTACTCAGAATATTTTGTATGGAAAAAATTCAGAAATTCAGTAGCTTTGTTCTTTGACATGACCACTTGACTAGATAGTGATCTCTTATTTATTGTAACAATTTACTGTCTTTAATTAAGATCCCCAGTTTATACATGGACTTAGTAACTCTGCATGTTCAGATTGCAGAGTGAAGAGTTTTGAAAGCTACTGGAAGGCAGTTGAAGCACAGTATACTGGCTAACAGCCTTCAACAATGGTGAATTGGGTGGCAGCCACAGAAGGAAGACAGACAAGTGCCCGATCCTGGACTCGCAGCCCGTGGGCAGTGCCAAGCACCACTACAACGAATACATGTTAGAGAGGTGGGAAAGAGAAAAACACAGCTGTGAGTGTGGCAGAACTGGAGATGCGCTGGCGGTGACAGGTGAAAGAGAGGGCTGAGGTCCACACGCTATAATTGCCCCGTAGAGTCAGTCAGATGATGTACAGCAGCCTGGAGCTTAAGCAGAAGCAGAGTCAGACCCAAAACCAGCTCCGGAGCAGCAGGGTGCCCTTGGCTCTGGGCGACAATGGAGGATCAATTCGAGGAAAGGACCTCAAAGTCCAGGTTCCAGCCGTTATTAGTGAACTGCTGACCCATATGGATGTATGTAGTCTGTGCTGCCGTCTCATGCGTTGGTGACATCCTTGGACTCGGCTGCCTGGGTTGCCATGGCAATGTGAGTGACATGTGTAGCTGTTAGCCCCTCGAGACACACGAGTGGACAGGCCCCTCCCTCAAGGACCTCTAACTACCAGGTTCTACCTGCAGAAAAACACTCTTAAGCAGTGCTTAACCCTGCCCCCACCCTACAGAGTAAAAACCCCAGTCTCTGTACCCAAGATCCCACCAGTCTCCCATGAATCTTCCACCATGAAAAGCTCCACCCTGGAAAATTTCACCTCCTTCCCTAGAAACTCTATTTAAGCCCTGTATCCTGTTCTGTTTGTTGCTGTTTCTTACCTAAACAAAGGCAGCCATGCTCCTGTTATTTTTCCCCTCCCAATCTCTGTGTGAAGTTTGTTGTGCTGAGTGACTTACAGGTATGCCTTGGCTCCAGGCTGCCAGGATATCTTTCCATCCATGCTATGTCGTTGACAGTAACCACCTGGGGCCATGTTGAGGCTCATGTCCAGTGCAGTCACTGAAGGCCATGAGTGGGTCAGTGGTCCTGATACAGCCAAGGTTCAGTTTTTGAAGTCTGTGGCCCATATTGTCATCAAAGCTCATGCAGATGTGTGTGGTCCAGTCTGCCGCCTGAAGCTGTATTTAGGTTCCTGTGCACAGGAGAACTGGGTCTGTCCTCTTGCCAGCCCAAAGACTTCAGAGAAAGTGGTGGCTCAGGGCACTGGAGAGCTGGTTCAGCCTGGCGTAACTCTTCTCAGTTTTGAGATACCCAAATAATCAATAAAAAATAATTTTTAAAAATGGTGAATTGAGGATGTCCCAAGAATACAAGACAATAATAAGACCATTGTCACTGAGAACTCTATGACACAGTTGGTGATAACTGTAATAGCATCCTGCGTGTTCATATATAGTTTCATATAAGAGCATTGATGAACAGAACCTTTGTTCCCATCTCATATCAAAATAAGACAAAACAATTAGCATAAGAGTAAAAACCAAACTGAACAAAAAGTTTCCAAAAATAAAGTTGCTAGTGACAATTATAGTGTTGAGATTCCTGAATTTATACTTTTCTGCAAGCTTGATATTCATAAGAGCTCTGTTCTGTTAGGCTTTGTTAGGAAACAATATTCTTTTTCCAGAGCTGACAACTTAGCACCTATAAAAACATTCATCCTGATGTTTCTTGTAACTATCAGGGTCCTCATTCCAGATGGAATAGCTTACCTCTTGGTATTATTGAACCAGGTCCTCTGAACAAAGCATGCACCCTCTCCTCCAGATCAGCTGTGTGTGAACACTGTTGACATTCCCTCATAGAAGGAGAGAGTGGAATAGGGAAGGATCACTGGACTCTTGCTGAGTGTCCAGCCATGCCTCCTAGCCACATGTATGCAACACAACCCTTACTGTAGCTAGCCTCAGGGTCTCAGGACGCTATTAGGGAGGCTGGGTAATGATAACTAAAAGGAACTCTACTTGTGTTAGAGGAAGACTTCTCAGTCCTTCTAACAACAATCCTACACCTACACTCTGTAAATAAGTCCAATACATTCATTGATTTTCCAGATAGCCTTTGGTGGAATTACACTTGGTTTGTCATTGAGACCTTATGAAGAGGGAATGGGCATGGTTTAAGTCTCTTCAGGGAGGAATTCTCTCAACACTGGCTAATCAAGCCACATATGCATGGGCAGAGAGCACTTTGTTTACATCTGTATCCTGTCACAGAGAAGAGGCAAGAGAATTAACATAGCTAGAAAACCCATGTGGGAAAACACAACACACAGCTGGGTAGCAAATTGCAGCAGGGAATTCATCAGTCTTAACAAAAGAATGAGTGTACAATATGTTCTGAAAACAGTCTTCTATATGCTATCCTCAGTAACTACCCCAGATAAAAACTTGTAATGATGTCACCATATACAGTGATCTAATCTTTCTTTTATTTTATGCAACTTTGAAGACATTGTTTCTCTCATGGATGAAGTTTGACCACTTCTGAATCAGTTCTATGCTGCTCCATGCTCTTCATTCTCCTGAAGTATCTTTCCCTATTTCCTTTCTTGTATAATTCTCCCTCGTTTTACAGTTGTGATGTAACCTTCAACCTTTTTCTCTAACACATCGCAATAACTATCCCTCCCCACCCACCACTGGGTGGGTTTCTTCTTTGTTAGCCTAGCACAACACTGCAATATTATTGTCAACTTGTTTCTAAGCAGGGGTCCCAAAATTTTGAAAGTAGGATACTTTTCAGATTAGAAAGAAGGACAGATAATAACTATAATTTTAGATATTTTGAAAATGAGTATTTGCTGATACATGATTTAGGACCTATGGAAGACCCTTAAATATTTTTTTAAATAATACTTTTCCTTACAAAGCAACATGGCTGTGCTCACTGGGACTGAAGAGCTTAGTATTACATAACCTTTTAAAAAACATAAGAAGAGTGATTTCCCTTGTAGTATATTGATATAACTTATACAGATTCCTAGTGGTGCATGTGTTACTGTGTCATTTCTATTTACTTGTTGAGAATAAGATTTTGAAGTACAATCATTTTAATTTTTTTAAACAAAAGTGCTTGTAATATTCAAAGTTGTGGTTTTTGTTAAATGCAAAACATTGAAACTTTCCATTTATCAGTCTTGGTAGAATATTATATTTTATTATTATTAATTTTATCTTTTAGTAATGGAAAAAGTAACTCTTTTTGCATAAGATTATTAAGGTTCACCCACATTGAAACATTTAATAGTATGCTCATATAATTGAATTTATTATACAAATACACCACATTAAGCGTTTTTATCCGAAAACATAGATGAACCATATTCTAGAAAGTGAGAGGTTAGTTGCAATGTACCAGGAAAGGATGGATGAAAGGGAAGTAGTTTATTGCTATGGTTTGGGATTTAGCCATATGTTAATTTGAAAATTCTTCACTGAATGTGTCTCACACAATACTAACAAGTTTTTCTAAAAGCCATCCTAATTTATTTTAAGGAAACTATTGATAAAAACATTTCCCTTAAAATATGAAATGTCAAAAAGAAACATTAAACAATATGGGATTTTGAATGGCAGATGTAAGGCAGATACATACCAAGAGAATAGATACCCACTTTCCCATAGTAATCACACTTTTATAAGGATAGAGACTAGTATAATGATCTTGGTACAAACTTATAAATAACTTCTTGAAGCCATTTTCCAATGATTATGATTTGAGTAAATTAGGGGGAGGGAAGATTGTAGGAGTCAGATGGGATGGAGGTCACCAGGAGAACATGGCTCACTGAACCAGGCCTCATATGGGCTCATAGAGACTGGAGCAGCCAGCATAGGGCCTGCATGGATCTGTACCAAGTCCTCCGGATATATGCTATGGCTGGTAGCTTGGTGCTTTCTCAGGACTTCTAACAGTGGGAGCTGGTGTGTCTCTGACTCTTTTGCCTCTTTTTGGGACTTTTTTCCTCCTATGGAGTTGCCTTGTTCAGCCACTGTATCTTGTTCATCCTATTTGGTTGTTGTCTCATGGAGGCCTGCTTTTTTCTGAAGGGAAATAGGAGTGGATCTGGGGACAAGGGAGGTGGGGGAAGCTGAAAGGAGTGGAAGGAGGGGAAACTGAGGTCAGGATACATTGTATGAGAGAAGAATCTATTTCAATAAAAATTAAATATTGTAGGGTGGATCTTTAATTTAAAAAAAAAGACAGTGATGTAGTGATATCTTGAGACCAATAACCTAATACAGATCATGCTCTCAGTCATCATAATCTATGCCTGAAGAAAGGATTATCTTAAAACTTCTGTTTTTGAATTACAGTTTTAACAATTAATAATATAACATGCAAATTCATGTAATGGTGCCAAATTTTTGTTTGCTTTCCTTTCTCAGGAAAGTGAAGTGGTTTAGGGCATTTTATTTTATTCTCAAATTACCAATTTACAGAGGTGTGATTACATCCATCTGAGGCAGGATAGCCTCTGGGAAAGCTGACTGTGAAATGTAGGTCAGTGCCAGCATATCCAGGAGTGCCACAGCTTAAATTGAAAAGCTCTCCCTCCTCCTCCCCATCTCACCCTTCTCTCTCTCATTATCCCTGTCTTTCAGTATAAATTTATGTGTATATTCTCATGTGTACATATAAAGTGTGTGCATAAAGACCAGAAGTCAATGACTTGTCACCTTCTAAAGATATCCACCTTTTATTTAGGAGATGGGACCCCATGCTCTCTGCCTCATTGACTAGGCTAGCCTATTGGTTGAATAGTGGACCTCAGGAATCCTCCGCTCTCTAGCTCCCCAGTGTTGACATGGTACATGCCACCTGGCTTTTTGTATGGGCGCTAATGATCAAGCTTAGATTCCCATGGCCTGCATTTTACTAACTGAGAAAACCCCCCAGCCCCAGGGATTTCAGAGTTTTAAATTTATTCTCCCCATCCCTACTGTGATGTTTTGGAACTTTAGTTTATGAAGCAGCTGCCAGAAACAGATGAAAGCAGAACAGATAGACTTGGTTAAAAGTTAAGCACCAAAGGCGCCACACATGTACAATAGATGGCTCAAAGAGTGGCCAGAGGGCCAGATCTTCTGTTTTTAAACAAAGGACTAAGACCTGGGCTTCTGCAGGGGAAGTAGATGGCGCAAGCCACAGAGGGGTGAGGTGAGGATATACTGTGGAAGTTGACAATGTTTTACTATGCCGTCTTCCAGTAACAGACACTTAAGGTCATTGCCACCACCCCACCACCCACTGCTACTGATCCTGGAGAGAAAGTGTAGTATCCACAGATCAGGCTTTCCCTGTATCTACTGTTCACTGATTTAGGTAGGTGACTGAAAAGGCATCTTTCTCAGCCACTGCTGTGTCTGCTAACGTCGGCATTTTCTCTGACTAATCAACTTGAAATATACCAGGAAATGGATTTGCAATGCCATGTTTTGTTCTCCCACAGTATCAACACATAGGAAAGGAGGAAGTAAAACTGGGCAGACATAGAGTTGAGTTTTATGCAATGTCTGTGAAAGATACAGCTGGGCCTAGGGGGAATTCCAAGATTGACAGACCCTTCAGAGTTGCCTCAAGCTGTGGGAAGAGCCTTCTCCTTACTTCACCAGTCATTCATTGGATGGGAGACATGGGCACTGGCCAGAACAGTGCTCCCAGACCAGACAAACACCGATGGCAGAGATGATAGCTGAAGGCTGTCTGATGACAGCCCTTCCAGCAGCTGGAGAAACAAAGCACTTATCCCTACATGGCCTTGGCGCTATGTATAACAGTATTGATGACAGTCACTGCCTACTGCTTCACTAACTTTGATAAAGGGTAAATAATTGTCTTCAAAAGACTTATCATTTTTAATCAATAGGAAGCAAATTTTAACTAAGATTCTGACACAAACCATAATCATATCTTGGTCACAGGCTGAATGTGTAGTTTGTTTAAAATACATTAACTATGTTGACAACTACTTTTTAAATGCATAAAGTGATATAGACGATGTCTTATTACACCTAAAGTCCTTTGAAGTTATAATATCTATAATTGCAGAGTGTATGTATGTGTGTATGTTATTCAGCCTTCCATTAAAGATAAGAAGTCATAACACAAATCCATTGCTAAATGATTCTTCTGCCATTTTTCCATTAAGCGCAAGAAGATTATCAGTGGCACTGCTGTAGGATTCTATTGCTGTAGAACAGACCATTGTAAACTCAGTGCCACCCATTCACTTTATCATTTCAAGGTTTCACAGTCCTGACATCCACAAGGCTCTGTGGGCCTCTCAGTCAGAGTGTCACAAGAATGAAATAAATGTGCCAGATGAACCAGAGGCTCCTTTGACCCCTGAGGGTTTTCTTTCAAGCTCATTTAAGCTGGTGATAGAATTCAGTGGCTTATAGTTGTAGAACTGAGGCTTTGGGGTATAATCTATATTCCTGCTAGATCACTCTTGCTGGGAGATAGTCTCCTTTGTGTTTCTCTAACAAAATGCTTGAGATGATAAGCTTAAAAGAGTAAATGTGTCTTTGGTCTCAATGTTGATTTATCAACTCTGGCCAGGTAACCTCATTGCTTTAGAGTTTTTGGTATTGAAGGACAGCATGGCAGGAATGTCAGTATAAACTGGTTGCCACATGGCATCTAGGAAGAGTAAGAAAGGAAGAAGAAAATGTCATAGCTCCACATTCTCTTCAAGAGAAAGTTGAAATAGCCTAACAGCTCTTTTGTCCCAACTAGCCCAACTTCACAGGAGATCTACAGCCTCTCAACAGGAGCACCGGCCAGGGCACAGATATGTGTAGCACAAATTCTAGTTGGTCTGACTATTGGGGTTTAAGCTAAATATCAGAGAGGCAAAGTGGCCAGTCAATCACTAGAGAGTTCTCACTTCTACCAATGCTCAAAGTGAAAGGGTGATTCTCTATTCAGACTGCATCTTCAGACTGCATCTGTCTCCACTGAACCTCAGACTGCACTGAGCTCCTGTCTCCTCCTGCCTTATATTCCTTTCTAGTGCTGGGGTTAAAGGTATGAGATCCAAAGTGCTGGCATCACCTTTTGTGTGAACTCTGTTTCTATTTTAGATTGGATCTATTTCGTGGGGCCCAGAGTGGCCTCAATGTCTCCTGAGTGCTGGGATGAATGGTGTGTGCCACCTTTTCCTGGCCTCTGTGGATAACTAGTGTGGTTAGCTTTGCACTCTGATCTTCAGGCAAGCTTTATTTATTATATCATAAACAAAATATCACCACAGATATTTAGCAACATGGGTTTTGAGAGAGCCATTATCAAGCCATGGCAGTTGCTATTGGTCAAAATAATGTAATAAACATATGAAGGGTGGGATCATTGAAAGGATCTACCTGAAGCCACCTTCTAGAGCCTGTAAGAATAGGGACACCTATGACTGCATGATCTGCCAAGTCATCACTTATAACCCTTACTTTTCAAAGTACAGAGATATGTTACATCAGAAATATTTCAAGCTCATATGTCTTCTAATGAGGAAAGAATTATCTGTCATTATAATAAAGATGTTCCAGGAAATTAGCATTTCATTTTAATATTCCTACAGCTAATGTCTAGAGGAAATTCTAAGTAATGATGTGACAAGACAAAATAATTTCAAATATATTGAAAACAATGTATATCCCTTAATAAATTGGGGATAAAAATATATTTCAGATTTCTAACACTAAATTATTATACAAATAATATTGAATTCAACATCAAAGTTATAAATACTCATTTTTAAGAAACAAAGCTGGACAAATATACCTGTAATATGCATTCTTCCCGCAAGCCTGATGCCAGAGTCATGTCAGTCTCAAATGCACACACAGGAGGCTATATTAATTATGAAACTGTTAGTTGTTTGCTATGGTTTCTTAACAGCTAGCTTTGACTTAATCATTAACCCATAGTTACTAATATATATTT